GTCAAATGCATTCTACAAACCTAATTAAGTCAAATGAAATTCAAACACATTCAAACATTGCTAATTAAATCAAATGAAAGTCAAACACATTCAAACAAAGCTATTTGAATAAAATGAAAGTCAAATGCATTGAACAAAGCTATTGAAATCAAATGAAAGTCAAATGCATTCTACAAACATAATTAAATCAAATGAAAGTCAAACAGATTCAAACAATGCTAATAGAATCAAATGATAGTCAAACACATTTAAACAAAGTTATTTGAATTAAATGAAAGTCAAATGCGTTCTACAAATCTAATTGAATCAAATAAAAGTCAAACACATTCAAACAAAGCTATTTGAATCAAATGAAAGTTAAATGCATTCAACAAAGCTAATTGAATCAAATGAAAGTCAAACACATTCAAAAAAAGCTATTTGAATAAAATGAAAGTTTAATGCATTTAACAAAGCTATTTCAATGAAATGAAAGTCAAATGCATTCTAAAAACCTAATTAAATCAAATGAAAGTCAAACACATTCAAACATTGCTAATTAAATCAAAAGAAAGTCAAACACATTCAAACAAAGCTATTCGAATGAAATTAAAGTCAACTGCATTCGAACAAAGCTAATTGAATCAAATTAAATTCAAACACATTCAAACAAAGCATTTTTCTATCAAATAAAAGTCAAATGCATTCAACAATGCTAATGGAATCAAATGACTGAGAGAGAAACCTATTTTCCTGCCCTTTTTTGTATCAAGCTTGATCATCAATGGCGAAGGGGAAAAACAATAAGGGGATGAAATCTGCTGATTCCAAATTACAGAAACCTTCTAATTCCAAATCCAAGAAGCAGTGTAGGGTGAAACCAAATACCCGGTTGAATGCAAATTTGCAAAACCAAGAATTAGAATTGGGTGCTAGTTCGGAGGAGAGCTGGCTTGCAGAAGAAATCATGGATGAGAGGGTGATTAATCAAGTTTCTGAGGAGGAGAAACAACTTCATAAAAGGCAATTTGATCAATGGTTAAATGTAATGGTTCGAGGGACGCCATTGTTGGGTGGTTGTGAAGAACTGGAGGAAGGTGAGTTGTCAGCTATTGATTCAAATTACGATAATCCTACCCCTCTCTTGATGATTGAAAATCCAAATAGGATGATTGATGAGGTTAATCTTGATTGAAATTTGAGATTTCATGATGTTCTGAGCCCTGTTCAAGAACACCCTATTTTTACTTCCCCTATTTCTGTGATTGAAAAGGGTAATGATGGAAGGAAATGGAGCGATATGTTTAAGGGTACTAGAGATGAGGGATTTGCTCTTTCAAATCAGGATGAGAGGAGTTTTGTCCCTAAGAATGTACATGGTTATGGTGATAATAGAGTTAGGATAACAATGGAGGATGTTGAACCGGAAATTAATTTTTGGCAATCAGCAGTTGTTTTCTATGTCTTGGGATTAAACCTTCCTCTCAGAATCTTAAATGGGTTTGTGAGAAGGTCTTGGGGTAAATTTGGGATTGATAAGGTTTCAGCAATGGAGAATGGGGTTTTCTTGGTCCGATTCAGGACTGTTCAAGGAAGGGATAAGGCGTTAATGGCGGGACCTATTTTCTTTGATAGGAAGCCATTAATTGTAAAATAATGGGAACAAGGAATGAATCTTAATAAGGAAGATATCCATGAAGCTCCTGTGTGGGTAAGATTACCGGGTCTGGATTTGAAATTTTGGGGGAAATTATCTCTGATGAAAATTGCTGGAATCCTGGGTAATCCGATCAAAACAGATAGGGCAACTGCTTCAAAAGAATTAATTAGTTATGCTCGTATCATGGTGGAGGTGAATATGAATGAAAAGCAGCTAGAGGAAATTAAATTCTTGGATGAAAATGGTGTAGAAATTACTCAGAAGGTCATCTATGAATGGAATTTGACTAAGTGTTCCATGTGCACTGGTATAGGACATTCAAAGGATCAATGCCCAAATCATAGAGTTCAGGCTAATAGAAGGAGGGGAAGAAAGGAGGTTCCAGTTCAGAAAATGGAGAAGGTTTGGAGGCCTGTTCAGAAGGAGCCTGTTGTCAGGGAGGCACAGAAGAATTCTGTTGAAGATAGGAGTTATAATATGTTGGATAATAGTAGGATGATTCCTACTGTTACTACAAGGAATAGATTTAGCAGCCTTGATCAAGAAGATGAAAAGGAGACAAATGTTGGCAAGACTAGTGATGAGAAGGATTTGTGCACTAATGAGAGTGGTAGGATTCCAATTTCTAGTGGGCAGGTTGTGTATGGTAGGATGGAAGAAGAGCAGTGCTCATACTCTTTATATGGATAAGTTTGGTTTTTGAAATTTTAGAGGCATGAACAGACCAGGGTAGATTTGTGATGTTATATGGTTCCTAAGGCATCATAGTATGGGTCTGTTTGGTTTGCTGGAAACAAAAATTAAAGTGAATAATTTGGGTAAAGTGTTTGATAATTTAGGGAGGGATTGGTCTGTTGTTACCAATCATTCTGTAACTAAGTCAGGTAGTATTTGGGTTGCTTGGTTGCCTAGTATTTTCTCTGTAGATAGTTGTAAAATTGATGTACAGTTTATCCATGTTTGTGTTACTCATATAGCTTTGAGAAAGAAATTTTGGCTGACTATGGTGTATGGGCTTAATACTGTAGTAGAAAGAGAGAGCCTATGGGATCAGATTGCTTAGATTTCTCCTCCTGCTGTTTATCCTTGGATTTTATGTGGAGACTTCAATAATATCCTCAATCTTGAAGATAGAATTGGATCTTAATGTTCTCTAGCTGAGGTTGAGCAGTTTAGAAATTGTTTAAGGGATAACAGACTTTCTGATTTCAAAGTAGGAGGTATGTTCTATACCTGGACTAATAAACAAGAAGGGGAAGATAGAGTTTACACTAAAATAGATAGAGTGGTTGTGAACAATGGCTGGTTGACTGAGTTCCCTAACTTTTCTGCTGAATTTCTTCCTGAGGGCCTTATGGACCACACTCCATGTTTTATGACTCTAGACAGTGCTGTTGGGAATGTTAGGAAGCCTTTTAGGTTCTTTAATATGTGGACTGAGGCTTCGAATTTGCTAGACATTGTGAAAAATGTCTGGGATAGACCAGTTCAAGGTTCTGCCATGTTCAGAGTTGTTAAGAAGCTGAAAGCAATCAAGCAAGAGTTAAAGGTTTTGAACTTTACTCATTTTTTTTCTATTGAGAATGCAGATTTTATTGCAGGGAATCACTTGGCTGATATTCAGAAGAAGTTGAATGCTTATCCTACTAATGCAAACTTGAAGAATCATGAGCATGAAGCAAGATTGAATTACAACAAGGCTCATACAGCTAAATTTCAGTTTTTGAAACAGAAAGCTAAAGCTCCCTGGATGAAGGAGGGAGATGCAAATTCTAGTTATTTTCATGCTATTATCAGGAAAAGAAGAATGGAGAACAGGGTTTACAGTATTAAAGATCAGTTTGGTGCTATGGTTAGTGACCCTGATTTGATTGGTGAAGCTTTTTTCTCTTACTATAAGGGCATGTTAGGGTCTAATATGGGAGATACTTGACAGATCCATCAGTCTGTCATCAATGGGGGGACTGTCTTAACTGATTTATAGAAGAGGAATCTGTGTAGGGCTTTTAATGAGGAAGATGTAAGGAAAGCTGTTTGGAGCATTGATGAGAATAAATCTCCTGGTCCCGATGGGTTCACCAGTAAGTTCTTTAAGGTCACTTGGGGGATTGTGAAAGAGGATGTGTGTCTGGCTTTGCTTTCATTTTTTTTATCATGGTAAACTCCTGAAGCAGGTTAATACCACCTCCTTAACTTTGATTCCAAAAATTCCTCAAGCTACTGATGTGTCTCAGTTTAGACCTATAGCATGTTGTAATGTGTTGTTTAAAATCCTTTCTAAGATGATTTGTACTAGGCTAAAGGAGGTTTTACCTTCTATTATTGGTAATGAGCAGGGAGCTTTTGTTTCTGGCAGAATTATGCTTGATAATATCATACTTTGTCAAGATCTTGTTAAGGATTATAATAACAAGAGGAAGCCTCCTAGATGCACAATTAAGGTAGATATAAGGAAAGCTTATGACACAGTTCAATGGTATTTTATTGAGAGTATGCTGATTGCTCTTGGGTTCCCAGCTATGTTTACTAAATGGATCATGGCTTGTGTCACTTCTCCTACTTATTCAATCATGATTAATAGGGGAAGTCATGGATTTTTTAAAGGAGATAGAGGCATCAGACAGGGGGATCCTCTATCCCCCCTTTTGTTTGTGATATGCATGGAATATCTTACTAGGCTTTTAAGGAAACTTGGTCAGAAATCAAGGTTTAAATTTCATCACAGATGCAGAAGAATGAAGCTAAATCACTTGGTGTTTGCTGATGATTTGATGCTATTTGCTCATGGTGATGTAAGGTCTATATCCCTTCTTAATAGAGCTCTTAAGACTTTTCATCTGGTTTCGGGTCTTCAAGCAAATGAGGATAAAACAGCTATTCTGTTTGGGAATATTCCAGATGTTGTTAAAGGGTTGATCCTGCACAGATCTAGGTTTATTGAAGGTCTGTTTCCTTTTAGATATTTAGGAATTCCCCTTAATTCCAAATATCTTAGGGTGAGTGATTTTGATGTCCTCATTGACAAAATGTTGGCTAAGGTTCATTGCTGGTCTAGTAGGAACATATCCTATGCTGGCAAAGTGGTCCTCTTGAATTCAGTTTTGATCAGCTTCTACTCTTTCTGGGCTCAATGTGTTCTTCTTCCTGAGTGTGTAATTGACAGAATCAACAGGATTTGTAGGGCTTTTCTTTGGGATGGAAGTGCGTCTTTATCCAAAAGTCCTCCAATTTCCTGGGATTGGGTTTGTAAATCCAAGAAAATAGGTGGTCTTGGTATCAGGAATTGTTCTATGTGGAACAAAGCAGCTCTGGGAAAATAGATCTGGAAAATTGCAACTAAGAAAGAGTCCTTGTGGGTTAAATGGGTTCATTCTGTTTATATTATATTAAAGACAGAAACTGGTGGGATTGTGTTCCTAGTAAAGGTTCAGGATGGGCATCGAAAAGTATTTGTAAGGTAAAGGATGAGATGAAGGAAGGTTTTGAGCTTAAACATTGGGCTGAGACTGGTTATTCAATCAGAGATGGGTATGGTTGGTTACAAGGGGATCAACCTGCTGTCAGATGGACTCATTGGATCTGGAATAAATTTAATGTTCCTAAGCACTCATTCATAGCTTGGCTTGCTATTCATGACATACTGAGATTGAGAAAAAGGTTATGTAGGCTAGGAATTTGTACTGAAGAGACCTGTTTGTTATGTGGATCTGAACCCGAGACATTGCAGCACCTATTCTTTAGTTGCAGATATAGTAAAACATGTATGACTAATATTTGCAACTGGATTGGTTTAAATGTCAGAGTGTGTGATATTGAAAGTGCTTGGAAAGACTGGACCAGGGGTATAAAAGACCAGGTAAAGAGGAATTTTGTACTTGCTGCCCTCACTGCATTGCTATATCATATCTGGCTTATTAGAAACTACTCATACTGGCAGAAGGCTGTGATTCACCCTGGTAAGCTCTATAAGGTGATTAGACTAGAGGTGATTGATAGAAGCCACCAAATGATAAACAGTTCCTGGTCTAGAGCTCAAGTCAGATGGCTATTTCGACTTAAACAGTCTGTGTAGTTGTTTTGTTTTTTGTTTTTGGTTGCAGGCCTTACTGAGTGTATCTTAGTTTGTTTGTTTACACTTAAGGGGTGTTGAAGTTAGGTGCTGAGGGTTTTTCCCTCCTGTTTTCTTGTGCTAATCCTAGTGTAATGTCCCCCATTCATTTGAGACTAGGTTTCCCCCTTTCCTTTGTTTGAGACACCCTCCCTAGGAGGTTGTTTTTTTCTTTGGTTAAGGGCTTGTACTTGGAGGGCTTGCCCTCTTATTTTGGTATTAATAAACTTTCTTACTTACCAAAAAAAAAAAAAGAATCAAATGACAGTCAAACACATATTTGAATCAAATGAAAGTCAAATGAATTCTACCAATCTAATTGAGTCAAATGAAAGTCAAACACATTCAAACAAAGCTATTGGAATCAAATGAAAGTCTAATGCATTCTAAAAAGCTAATTGAATCAAATAAAAGTCAAACACATTCAAACAAAACTATATAAATCAAATGAAAGTCAAATACATTCAAACAAAACTATTTGAATCAAATGAAAGTCAAATCCATTCAACAAAGCTAATTGAATTAAATGAAAGTCAAATGCATTGTACAAAACTAATTGAATCAAATGAAAGTCAAACACATTCAAACATTTCTAATTAAAAAAAATGAATGTCAAACACATTCAAGTAAAGCTAATTGAACCAAATGAAAGTTAAAGGTATGCAAACAAAGCTTTTTAAATCAAACTAAATTCAAATGCATTTTACAAAGCTAATTGAATCCAATAAAAGTGAAACATATTCTAACAAAGCTATTTGAATAAAATGAAAGTCAAATGCATTCTACAAGCTAATTGAATCAAATGAAAGTCAGTTACATTCAAACAAAACTAATTGAATCAAATGAAAGTCAAACACATTCAAACAAAGATAATTGAATCAAATGAAAGTCAAACACATTCAAACAAAGCTTTAGGAACCAAATAAAGGTCAAATGCATTCAACAAAACTTATTGAATAGAGTGAAAGTCAAACACATTCAAACAATGCTAATTAAATCAAATGAAACTCAAACACATTCAAACAAAGCTTTATGAATCAAATGAAAGTCAAATGCATTCAATAATGCTAATTGAATCAAATGAAAGTCAAACTAATTAAAACAAAGCTAAATGAATCAAAAGAAAGTCAAACACATTCAAACAAAGATTTTTTAAATCAACTGAAAGTCAAATGCATTCAACAATGATAATATAATCAAATGAAAGTAAAAAACATTCAATTAAAGCTATTTAAATCAAATGAAAGTCAAATGTATTCTACTACAAACCTAATTGAATCAAGTGAAAGTCAAACACATTCAAACAAAGCTATTTGAATCAAATGAAAGTCCAACACATTCAAACAAAGTTATTTGAATCAAATGAAAGTCAAATGCATTCAATAAAGCTAATTGAATAAAACAAAACTCAAACTAATTAAAACAAAGCTAATTGAATCAAATGAAAGTCAAACACATTTAAACAAAGATTTTTTGGATCAAATGAAAATGAAATGCATTCAACAATGATAATAGAATCAAATGAAAATCAAGCACATTCAAACAAAGCTATTTGAATCAAATAAAAGTCTAATGCATTCAACAAAGCTATATAAATCAAATGAAAGCCAAACACAATCAAACAAAGCTAATTGAATCGAATGAAAGTCATACACATACAAACAAAGCTATTTTGAATGAAATGAGAGTCAAATGCATTCAACAATGCTAAAAGAATCAAATGATAGTCAAACACATTCTAACAAAGCTATTTGAATCAAATGATAATGAAATGCATTTTACAAAGCTTATTAAATCAAATGAAAGTAAACCACATTCAATCAAAGCTAATTGAATCAAATAAAAGTCAAACACATTCAAACAAAGCTATTTGAATCAAATGAAAGTTAAATGCATTCTACAAAACTAATTGAAACACATTCAAACAAACCTAATTAAATCAAATGAAAGTCAAACACATTCAAACAAAGCTATTCGAATAAAATTAAAGTCAATTTCATTCGAACAAAGCTAATTGAATCAAATAAAAGTCAAACACATTCAAACAAAGCGTTTTTCTATCAAATAAAAGTCAAATGCATTATACAATGCTGATAAAATCAAATGACAGTCAAACAGATTCAAATAAAGCTATTTGAATCAAATGAAAGTCATGCATTCTACAAATCCAATTAAATCAAATGAAAGTTAAACACATTCTAACAAAGCTATTGAAATCAAATGAAAGTCAAATGCATTCTACAAAGCTAATTGAATCAAATAAAAGTCAAACACATTCAAACAAAGCTAAATAAATCAAATGAAAGTTAATTACATTCAAACAAAGCTATTTGAATCAAATGAAACTCAAATCCATTCAACAAGGCTAATTGAATCAAATGATAGTCAAATGCATTCAACAAAGGTAATTGAATCAAATGAAAGTCAAACACATTCAAAAAAAGCTAATTGAAACAAAAGAAAGTTAAACACATTTCAACATTGCTAATTAAAAAAAATGAAAGTCAAACAAATTCAAATAAAGCTAATTGAACCAAATGAAAGTTAAAGGTATTTAAACAAAGTTTTTGAATCATATTAAATTTAAATGCATTTTACAAAGCTAATTGAATCCAATGAAAGTAAAACATATTCTAACACAGCTATTTGAATCAAAGGAAATCAAATGCATTCTTCAATCTAATTGAATCAATGAAAGTCAGTTACATTCAAACAAAACTAATTGAATCAAGTGAAAGTCAAATGCATTCAACAAAACTTATTAAATAGAGTGAAAGTATAACACATTCAAACAATGTTAATTGAATCAAATGAAAGTCAAACACATTCAAACAAAGCTTTATAAATCAAATGAAAGTCGAATGCATTCAATAAAGCTAATTGAATCAAATGAAAGTCAAACTTATTAAAACGAAGCTAATTGAATCAAATGAATGTCAAACACATTTAAACAAAGATTTTTTGAATCAAATGAAAATCAAATGCATTCAACAATGATAATATAATCAAATGAATGTAAAAAGCATTCAACTAAAACCATTTTAATCAAATGAAAGTAAAATGCATTCTACAAACCTAATTGAATCATATGAAAGTCAAACATATTCAAACAAAGCTATTTAAATCAAATGAAAGTTAAATTCATTCAACAATGCTAACAGAATCAAATGAAAGTCAAACACATTCAAATAAAGCTTTTTTAATCAAATGAAAATCAAATGTATTCAACAAAGCTAATTGAATCAAAAGAAAGTCAAACACATTCAAACAAAGCTAATTAAATCAAATGAAAGTCAAACACATTTAAACAAAGCTTTTTTAATCCATTGAAAGTTAAATGTATTCAACAAAGCTAATTGAATCAGATGAAGTCAAACACATTCAAACAAATCTAATTGAATCAAATGAAAGTCAAACAGATTCAAACAACGCTTTTTGAGTCAAATGAAAGTCAAATGCATTCAACAAACCTAATTGATCAAATGAAAGTCAAACACATTCAAACAAAGTAATTGTATCAAATGAAAGTCAAACTCACTCAAAAAAAGATTTTTAGAATCAAATGAATGTCAAATGCATTTAACAATGATAATAGAATCAAATGAAAGTCAAACACATTCAAATAAAGCTATTTGAATCAAATAGAAGTCAAATGCATTCAACAAAGCTCTTTGAATCAAATGAAAGTGAAAGTGAAAAACCCTAGAGAAAGTGAAAAACCCTAGAGAGAGAAAGTCATCTTTTCGCCATTTTTGCCTTGAAATCTGTTGATTGAGCTATGGCTATGGGCAAGAAAGGTAAAGGGAAGAAGAATTCATCCTCTAAGAAGATGAAGAAGTAGAAATCTAAAGAAAAATCTAAAGAGAAATCATCTATTGTTCCGAAGAAAAATCAGGATGATGTTACTAAGGGTGGTTCGAATGTGAGCTAGTAAGAGACTGCATCAATGGAGGATCAGCCTTCTAAGCTGGTGGATAAGGAAGAAAAGAGACAGCATGCTACTCAGTTTAATCAATGGTTGGAGGTAATTCACCGGAACTCTCCCATTATATCCAATGTAACAGTAACTCCCATTATTGGTAGTGTGAATGTTGGGTGTGCTACTGATCAATCGGGGGGTAGTTTCATTAATGATAAGATCTTACACTAGACGAAAAAAATAAAAAGGTACCGGTTCAAACCCCCCTTTGGCAACGGTTGTGAACCGTTGGGTTTTGAACCGGTGCCAACTAAAGCATTTAGCACTGGTTAACCGGTGCCAACTACATGCTTTGGCACCGGTTAACCAGTGCCAACTATCATGGCGCGCTTTTTTTTTTTATTACTATTGGCACCGGTTCAAAGCAAGAACCGGTGCAAAAGTTAAAAAAAAATTTAAAAAAAACTTTTGGCACCGGTTCTGGTGCCAAAAATAACCCAAAAAAATAAAAACTTTTATTTTTTTTGCATTTTGTTCACTTAAATTGATATAGAAACATTAACATATATATAAAGTTACATATTTTTCATTAAAAAAGACTGTAATTTTACAATTTTCGTCCAAAAAAATTTAAATAATCCAGACTTATCTCTTATCGACCTTTCTTGCATTTCATTTAACTAGCTGTCCTGGTCTTGTGCTGGTGGCTGCTCTGCTGGCTGTGGCTGTGGCTGTGTTTCTGCCCTGGTGGTTGTGGCTGTGTTTCTGCTCTGATGGTTGTGGTTGTTTTGCTTCTATGGCTGTGTTTTTGCTCTGTTTAAGCATTCTTAATATGTATCCATCACATCTTCCCCAAATGCATGATTGCAACAATCTAAGGATCCACCTTCACCTAATACTTCCTAACAAATTTAAACCCAATCTAACAGAACATGACCCTGATAACACCAAGGTCGTAAGATTAATGGAATATAAAAATATCATCATCGAATGTGAATTTCCAGTAGTCACAGCGTTACACCAAATAATCAAAATCTAGAGCAACATAAACCCGATATGTGCAAGCTCCTTAGAAGAGCAAATCCAAGCAAAATCAGCACAATGATAGGCAAAACCTATTAACCCGAGTTCAAGAAACCATAATTTACAAGCAGCACCAAAAGAATGATGCTTGCCATTGAGAACTCCAGCCACTGTAACACTAAAAGAAGCTGGCGAGAAACAAATCCAAGTAAAGGATTAGAAACTCCCTAGGTTTTTTAAATGACAAGAAAGGGGCTATGTTACACGTAATGTCGCGCCGCAAGCTAGTTGACACTGTCAGGATACATTCACGATAGAGCTCAGAAGAACTCCAACCTTCAATTTCATGAAATCCCAATGCGATGCCAAAGCAATGTCAGTACCACAGATCATCACAGCTACAAGCATTAAGCCAAGTACCACCCAAAAAAAAAAAAAAAAAAAAAAAAAAAAAAAAAAAAAACCTGATTCTATAAAATCATAAGATGAAGCATGAACCTGAAGGCTGAAGCAAAATGCATGCTTAATAAAGTATAGTGCACTATGTAGTTGCACCAAAAGATGCTTGGGCAGCAGAAACAAGAAAAGGTAAAATTTCAAAAGACAGGATAGAGATGAACTTAGCACAACTTGCCACCCCATAATCACAAATAACATATTGATAGTATAATCAAGGACAAATTCGCAAATTAGAGCTCAAAATACAATAAGCAATATCCATGATGAAGGCACCCCTAAATCTCACTAACATTACCAGACCACAAATTCTTAAGGCTGAAGAGTCCTGTTAAAAATTGACGAGGACCTGAACTTTCCTTGAAGCAGATGCAATATAGATTAAAAAAGAAGATAGAAACATAGACCGTGATAGATAAAGAGAAGAGCAGCCCAACTCCTAGAGTGGGAACAAATTGTCAGCAAATAATTACCCAATAAACAACACAGTAAGACAAAACCCTGATGTGAAAATTCAGCCACAAAAGTTCAGGAAAAATCAGTAAATCCTATAAGCAAAGCATCTTCCTATCACACAATCAAGGTGGTGTTAATTGACCACCCCAGCAAACTAAATGGTAATGAAAGTTCAAATAAAAAAACAATCAAATAAAGTGCAATTTGAATAAATGACACCCTATATGGAGTAGAGCTCTCATATTTCACCATCATGCCATTAATAAAATGTCTCATCAATAACTTCCATCGGAACGAGCAATAGAAAATTGAATCTGAAACTATGTGGTGTGGAACACAGACCCAGTCTAGATGATTCCATTTAGAAAAAAAAAAACCTAGGGAAAAACCAATCAACGTGAATACGACAACTATGAAGAACAACAGTTGAGGAGAGCAGAGACATAAGAGGACACAGCAATAACTTAAAGTCATTATCACCATAATACTCCCAACATCAGCTATATCATATGATCAAGAAGACCGTAGAAATGGAAACCAGACCATTAAACAATGGAAATAAATGTTATAAAGCCAAGAAAGTCATTGGAACCCGTCTTATCATAAAATCAACAGCTAGATATGAAAACCAGACTGAAACAATTGCTAAGAAGTACAAAGCAGAGACTCCTCCTTCAAATACCAAGAAAAGGGCGGCTCTTTCATCGACTTTGGCTAATTCATTGTCGAGTTTTTCCAAAACTTGCTTTCAACACCATCATCATCATTATCACTCCCCTTCCCCACACACCCTTTTACTTCCTTAACCTTCATCAACATATCCAGCTCTTTTTGCCTACCATAAACAACCCACAAAACAAAAACAAAAAAGACCCAATTAAGTTATTACAACCTTTTCAGCATTTTCTCAACAGAAATTAAGGAAATTAAAACTAACACAAATAATTAGCGGAATTGATATTCATTGATTAAAAAAAAAAAATATTACCTCAGAAGTTGTTTCAATGAAGGAGAATGCTCAGAACTGCTACAATATAACGCAAAGCTAAATAACCCAGAAACCCTAACCTCGAATTTCTGATTTTTGGTTTGAAATTGATTCGAATTTGTTGTTGCTAAAGACGCACGCACATCGAATTGATTCAAAATAGACGCACCCAGAAACCCTAACCTCCAATATTATAGAAAGAGAGAAGGAGAAGGAGAAGGAGATCGAAAGAGAGAAGAAAGGAAAGGGAAAGTGGTGGTTATAGAAGGAGAGAGAAGGAGAGAGAAGGAGTGTTAGGAAAGCTCAGAAGCCCCTTAAATGGAGAAATTCGACTACGCTTCAATGGAGGAGAGAGAGAGGCAGATCAGATGAGAAGAGGAAAGATCGAGGAAATGTAATGAAAACGAAGAAGCTAAGACCCGGTTTTTTTTTCAATAATAACATAGTTGGCACTGGTTTAAGGCGAACCGGTGCCACCTCTATGCCATATTTATTTATTTATTTTATTTTTTTTATAAGTTGGCACCGGTTTGAACCGGTGCTAATTAAATGATTGGCACCGGTTTTGGTTGGAACCGGTGCCAACACTGAATTTTTTAATCCCGCCCATTTCTTTTGGCACCGGTTTTCAAGAACCGGTGCTAAAGGGGGGTGCCTTTCGTTTTTTCTACTAGTGTTAAATCCTACTCCATTTTTAATTAAGAGAGGTGATGGTGGTATTTATGGATTTGATAGCCTTGAGATAAATTACCCTGTTTTTGGTCCTCCGAGAACAGGGAGTGGAAATCGTGAGAAATGGAGTGATCTTTTTCACCCTAACGCGCTTGAGACTCTGGATAATAGAATCGTCGTGGAAATCTGGATGCGAATGCAGGTGGTAATGGTGGAGGGGGTAGAATGCAGTTGAGTATGGATGATATGCAACCTGAGATAGATTTTTGGGATTCAGCAATTGTGTGCTATGTGTTATGCTCCAAGCCTCCCCTTCAGACATTTACAGGATTTGAAAACGTGTGCGGGGGAAGTATGGTGTTGACAAGGTGTCTTCTATGGCAAATGGTGTATTTTTGGTACGATTTTCTGAGAAGGAAGGTAGGGAGAAAGAAATTGATACTAGTCCAGTCCTATTTGATAGAAAAGCAATGATCATGAAGAGATGGGTCCCTGGGATTGACTTAAAAAAGGAGCAGATTACTGCTGTTCTGATTTGGGTCAGGTTTCCAGGCCATGACTTGAGATTTTGGGGTCAATCAGCCTAGATGAAGATAAGTAGCCTTTTAGTCAAGCTAGTGAAATTGAACAGAGCTACTTTAACAACAGAATTGATTGAATATGCTAGAGTCATGATTGAAGTGCATTTTAATAGGGACTATCCTGATTTTATTGAATTTTTGGATGAGCATGGTGAGTTGGTGAAACAGGAAGTCTTTTATGAATGGAGACATGTTAGTTGCTCAGTATGCAAAGGTGTGGGGCATGAAGGAACTCGTTGTCCAAACCATAGACAAAGGCATCAGAATAACAGACCTAATGCTCCTGCTAGACGTGTTGTTAAGAGAGTGGAGGCCTGTCAGGAGAACTAAAAATTCCCAAAATGTCATGCATCAAGGTCTTTCAACTTTCAATCCTAATGAGTTAGGAAGGAATGATGACCAAGAAAGGACTCAGAATGAAAGGAACAGTATGGGGCCATTTATGGTTCAAGAGACTATCTTGTACAACACAGGACAAGAGGGTGTTTGCACTTATAATATTAATAGATAAGTGTGGATTCTGGAATGTTAGAGGGCTTAACATGCCTAATAAAACCAGTGATGTGCTCTGGTTCCTAAGATAACACAAAATTGGCTTGTTTGGTCTTCTAGAAACAAAAGTAAAGAATAATAAAGTTAGTGAGGTGTTTGGGAGATTGGGTGATGATTGATCTGCTGTTGCCAATTATCTTATAGTAAGAAAGGTAGGATTTGGGTTATTTAGATCCCTTCAGTTTTTCAGGTGGATATTCTGAGGATCTCTACTCAGTTTATCCATGATAAAATAGTGCATAGAGGTACTGGATTGATATGTAGTTGTACTTTTGTGTATGGTGAGAATTTGAGTGAAAGGAGAGTAGAGCTTTGGAAGGGTATTGTGGATATTAGTAAGAATACCCAGGATCCTTGGTTTGTTTGTGGGGACTTTAATAATGTGCTAAATCTTGAAGATATGGTGGGTTCTAATGTTGATCTGAAAGAAGTGGAGCAATTTAGGGATTGCATTAGAGATAGTATGTTGATGGAATTTAAGACAGGAGGTCCCTTTTACACTTGGAATAACAAGCAAGATGCTGGCAGTAGGGTCTATACAAGGATTGATAGGGTACTTGTGAATTCTGTTTGGTTGGATAAGTGTAATGAGGCTAGGGCTACCTTTATGGCTGAAGGGCTTATGGACCACTTGTATCATTTCTTTATTTCAGTATAAGGACAGTGGTAGGAAACCTTTTAAGTTCTTTAATGTCTGGACAGATTGCCCGGGTTTTTTGGATGCTGTTAAAGATGCCTGGAATATGCCTGACCAGGGCACTGCTATGTATACTGTGACTAAAAATCTTTATGCTGTTAAGCAGGCTTTAAAGGAATTAAACTTGCTTAATTTATCTGACATTTTGAGTAGGGATACTCATTCTGCTTCTGTTTTGTACAAAAGTCAGTTGGAGCTTGCTTCTGATCCTGAGAATTCTGTGTTGATAGAGAAGGAAATTAAGGCTTGGAGGTTGTATGCTGAAGCTCATGCTTTGAAAATGAAAATTTATAAACAGAAAGCTAAGTTGCATTGGCTGAAAGAGGGGGATATTAATTCTGAGTTCTTCCATGCATGCATTAGGAAAAGAAGGATTCAAAACATTATTCATTATATCAAGGATTCAAATGGGGTCTGGTTAGGGGATCCTGATCAGGTTGCTATTGCTTTTATAGAGTATTATAAGAGGCTACTGGGGTCTAGCTCTCAACCTAGGAAATTTATCCATCCTAGTGTCATTAGTGAAGGCTCTATTTTGAGTTCTGAAATGCAAGATGCTCTCTGTAGGCCTTTCACTTCTAGGGATGTGAAGGAGGCTCTCTGGAATATAGATGATGACAAGGCGCCTGGTCCTGACGGGTTTTCTAGCAAATTTTTCAAGGCTTCATGGGCGATTGTGGGAGAGGACATAACAAAAGGTGTGCTTGACTTTTTCTCTTCTAGTAAGATGCTTAAGCAGATTAAAAACACTATTCTCACTATGGTTCCTACAGTTGACTGTGCTGAAGAGATTAGTCAGTTTAGACCTATTGCCTATTGTAATGTTGTGTACAAGGTCATCTCCAAGATTCTCTCTGACAGATTAAAGGAGGTTTTGCCTTTCCTTGTTTGTGAGATGCAAGGTGCTTTTGTAAAGGGGAGGTCAATTCTTGATGACATTCTGATTTGTCAGGATACCTAGGTGTACTATTAAGGTTTACTTAAGGAAAGCCTATGATTCTATGCACTGGAGTTTCATTGAAGATATGTTGCCTACTTTGAATTTTCCTCCTATTTTTATCAACTGGATCATGCTTTGTATTTCTTCTCCTTCTTTCTCTATTATGCTCAATGGGGTAATGTTTGGTTTCTTTAAAGGGAAACAGGGTGTCAGGCAGGGGGATCCCCTTTCTCCTTTGTTATTTGTTTTGGTAATGGAGTACCTGTCTAGGCTTCTTATCAAAGTTGGGAATTTGAGGCAGTTTAAGTTCCACCAGAGATGTAAGTGATTGAATCTTAATCATTTAATCTTTGTCGATGATTTAATGCTATTTTACCATGGTGATAGAGGTTCTGTCTTGTTATTGGCTAAGGCTCTAAGAGTGTTTGAGCAGTGTTCTGGTCTTAGTGCTAATGTTGATAAGACTGCAATTTACTTTGGTAGTATGGATCCTGATTTACAGCAAGCTATTATGAATGATTCTGGGTTTACTAGAGGGCAGACTCCTTTTAGGTACCTTGGCATTCCTCTTACCGCTAAGTACCTGAGAACTGATGATTTTGACAGCCTCATTGATAAAATGTTGAAGAAGATTACATGCTGGTCAAGTAGAAATTTGTCTTATGCAGCCAGAGTTGTGCTTGTGAATGCATTGTTAATGAGCTTACATTCTTATTGGGCTCAAGTGGTTCTCCTTCCAAAGACTGTCATGCACAAAATCACTGAATTATGTAGGGATTTTCTGTGGTGTGGGAATGCTGTTTTGTCTAAGGTTCCTCTTGTTTCCTGGGATTGGATCTGTAAACCTAAAGGATATGGTGGTTTAGGAGTGAGGGATTATGGGAGTTGGAACAAGGCTGCTCTAGGAAAATATGTTTGGAAGATTGCTATGAAGAAAGACTCCTTATGGGTGAAATGGGTTCACTTTGTATATATTAAACAAGCTATTTGGTGGACTTATAAACCTAAGAGGAGTGATGGCTGGGCATGGAAGAAAGTTTGTGCTGTGAAAGATGATCTGAAGGAAGGCTTCCTGAGTAACAGCTGGACTGATAGTAAGTATCAATTGTCTGTGGTGTACAGGTGGATTCAAGGTCCTATGGAGCCTGTGCATTGGAATGCCTAGGTATGGATGTTGGGTTTCGTAGTGACCCTCACTACGCGGAAAGGAAACCCCCCAAGACCCGCCCCGATAACTAAAGCAATTAAGACAAGCATAAACATAATTAAGTAATAATTAAAAGAAGAGTGAAAGACGTTATACCCTCGATGCGTGCTTTGCTCGCAAATCGAGCTCTTACTTCGAAAGCTCGAGCGTCACTAGTGTGAACGCCTTCAACGGCTCGTACCCACGAACCCAACCAATAAAAACTTGGAGTTTTACGAACTTAGAGGTTTTCTTACCTAATGGGAGATGCCTCATTGAGTTCTACACAAGTGGTTTTTCCCAAAACCCAAACTTAGGTATTTATAGGGAAAGGAGACTTGAATCTCCCTTCTCCCATCCATGTGGGAGAATAGCATTTTCCTTACTAATATATTTTAATCAAAAATAAATTAATGAACAATGCAATCAATGAGTTACAAGTGTCAAATGGACGAAGAATGGTTAGGTGAGGACCATTCCAAGAAGCGGGGGACCATTGCCTTGATGCCCAAGGCAATGCCCACAAGCCTTGGTCCCCTCACCCAAACCGTATCCACCATGTGGCTGGGACAGCTGGCTGCCAAGGCAGCCTTGCTGGCGCCTAGGCTGTGCTAGCAAGCCAGCCAGCACAAACATGCACACACCCAGCGAGCTACGCACAGCATGCGAACTGCTGCTGTGGCATGGCGTGTACTGGGCGATGTCTGGCAAGGATGCTCGCCCATGCTACTACTAACCCTGCAATACGCCAAGCCCAACTCTCTCACGCACAGCCCGCATTGCTAGCAAGGCCCAGCCCTGCGATGATGCGTGCTTGCGAGAGGCTGGCTGCTGGGGCGCGCCATTGCCTAGCACCATGCGCAGCCTTGCACGCATGAGCCTATCATGCTGCTATGCGAGGCACACGCACACACACGCACAGCCCAGCATGCCTAGCACACTGCTAGCTGGTGCGTGTGTTGCTTGCGATAC